CATGCATATAATGCCAGCACTTGGGAGGCTGAGGCAGGAGGATCACCATGAGTTTCAGGCTAGCCTTCTACACAGCGAGACCCTACTTTAAAAAAAAAGGCAAGAACTGTCTTAATTTTTTTTTTTTTTGCAACAACTGGTAATGAATCTACTCTAAATTTGCAGAGTTAAGAGAGTAAAGAATCAGAATTACAGACATTTCTTGTTACAGCCTTTATTACTATACAACAGAAACTTACACTCTATGTTACAAACCTTACACCAGCAGTGGCAAACCTACAGCACACACACTGCAGCAGGCTGTTTGTATTACTGAAAGCTCTAAAACGTTCGCCATCATTGCCTTACACACAAATGGTGAAACAACTTTTCGTTCCAAAAGTTATTTATTCTAATACAAAAAACACCCAAAAAAGAAGTTAATTTACTCCAGCTTTTCCTCTTTTTAAAGAGGGATTAGCTAGATTCTCCTTGTTATTCTGAGACCTTAATTTAAGAAGGATGCCAGACCTTTGAACAGGGGATGGCGGTACACACCTGTAGTTTCAGCTCTCACGAATGGTGAGGTACAAGAATCCCAAGTTCAAGCCCAGCCTGGGCAATTTAGTGACTGAGTAAGACCTTGCCTCAAAATAAAAAAATAAAAAAGGCTGGGCACCAGGCATGGTGGCATATGTCTGTAATTCTAGCACTCAAGAGGCTGAGGCAGGAGGATCACCAAGAACTAGAGGCCAGCCTGGATTACACAGTGAGTCAAGGTCAGCCTCAACTATACAAAGACCCTGTCTCAAACACAAACACAAAAGGCTGGGTGTGTACCTCAGTATGAAGGCCCTGCCTTTAATCCCTTGTAGGGTACACAAAAGACCACCATGAAAGTGATACTACCACATAAAGAAAACCATGCACAGCCAGGCATGGTGGTGCACGCCTGTAATCCCAGCACTCGGGAGGCTGAGGTAGGAGGATCGTTGCAAGTTTGAGACCAGCCTGGGCTACAACGTGAGTTCAAGACCAGCCTGAACTGCATAGTGACACCCTGTCTCAAAAAGACAAAAAAAGAAAAGAAAAGAAAGAAAACCATGCACAGAACCAACTATCCTTGCCATCCTTTTTCCTGAATAATGCCTGCCTGGCAGTGGCAAAAGCGGGCATTTACATCATCTTTTTTTTAACAGGTGAGGACAGATGGACAGACCCAGATGTCACATGAGCCTTTTGGGGTCTATTTTCTCTAGGTGAACCAGAGGTTTCAACTGCTCAGCGAAGTTCCTCATGTCATCAGAGACCACGTCCTGCCCGGCCGGGGCAACAACACTTAATTCCACAAGATAGGACAGTGACAAGGCCTCGGTGCTGTCTGTGTTTCCTGGCATAAGGATGCGGAAAATCTTGTACACCATAATCTTCATGATGCCCTTACGGAACAGGTGTCCCTTGATGACAAACTCGTGGTCCATGCGGAAGCCCATTTCCGTCAAGAAGTCAGTGAGGTTCTCAGATGTGGCGATGTCCACGCAGTTTCGCACCAGTGCGTGGCGGTTCTTGTCTCCCATTTCCGGCTGTCCCAGGTAGCGCAGATGCCAGGGTGCTCCCGCCCTGTCCATAGAGTGCCGGGCCCTGAGGACAAACGGGCTGGCCTGCTGGCCCTTAAGGAGGAACACGAGCTCATGGTCAAGGAAAGTCTCCGGCTCCATGTTGTCACACAGACCGCGCAGGCGGTGGATGAGGCTTTCCAGACTGTGGTCTAAGACACTCCCTGGGGACAGAAAAGCACCACTGAGTCCCCGCATTCACTCAGGGTCATGGAATTAGCAAAAGATTAAAAAAACCAAAGCAGTTTAGCGTAGTATTTTGTCCAACACAGGACTGATACATGAGATTTTAGGAGTTATACTGCTGAGCTGTTGCGTGGTATCACAAAAAGTTACTTCTAATTTTTGGTATTTTATTTAGCACTAAGGTCTTTAGGATTTCCCTAGTAATGCTAATCTCTAGGAGGTCTTGGGCAGCAGTAGCTATCAGAAATGTACTAGTAACAGTACTGTTTTGTTAGCATTTATTTTAATAATTATTAGTTTTCCTCCTTTTCCCTCTCCCCCTCTCCCTCTCTCTTTTGCACTACGGGGGACTGAGCCCAGAGCCTTTCAATGAACCTGGCTCCTCTCTCTCTTTCTGTCTGTCTCTCTGGTGCTGGAGACTGAACCCAAGACCTCACACAAGCGAAGCACAAGCTCTACCACCTAGCTACACTCCCAGACACAATTAAATTTCTTTCTCTAGCAAATAAGTCTTCCATTTATCAAAAAAAAAAAAGGCCAGGTGTCATGGTGCACGCCTGTAATCCCAGAACTTGAGAGGCTGAGGCAGGAGGATCACTGTGAGTTCAAGGCCAGCCTGGGCTACAGAGTAAGACCCTTTCTCCAAAAAAAGGGGGCATTTTTAAAAATATATGGTTTCCTTTTCATTTAATATACTTAAGAAAAAGAGAACGAACATTTCACAGAAACACTGCAGTGTTAGTCCTCACTTTACCCATTCTCATGGCAGAATCCGACGTGGCTGCTACAGGAGATCACGATCACACCCCCTTTGAAATCTACTCTTCCTTTGGCCTCCGGCACACAAGCCTAAGTTCTTCACCAAACTCAAGGACACGCAGGCTTCCGCGTCTCCCCTAAGGGTCAGAGGGTCCCGGTGCTGACTCCGGGTGCTCTTTTCTCTCAAGTCTCTTCCTCTCTCAACAGTGCCATTTGGCCCCATGGCTTTAAACACCATTTATGCCCGCGACCCCCACATTTATATTTTATGAATTACAGACACATACATCCAATTGTCTACGTAACTTTTCCACTTAGATGCCCAACAGATAGCCCCATCCCTAGCCTATTTTTTACTTTGAGACAAGGTCTTGCTAAATTGCTCAGTTGCCCAGGCTGGGCTTGAATTTATAACCTTCCTGCGTCAGCCTCCTAGAGCGCTGGGATTACAGGTGTGTGTCACCACACCCAGCTCACACGTTATCTTCACATGCTTAATATTAAATTGTTGATTCCCCCCCCCCACCAAACCTTATTTTTCCTACAGTTTTCCCCATTAGAGTAAATGGCAGTTCTCTGCTTTCAACTGCCCAGGCCAAAACTCATGGAATCATCTTTTTGTCCTTTCTTTCTCCCATATCCTACATACATCCAATCCGTGCTTTTGAAATAAAAGCAAAGTTTAACCACCTTTCACTCCCCCGAGCAGCAGTCCAAGTTGCTTTCATTTCTTGCCTGGTCTTTGCAGTAGCCTGCTTCTACCCTTGTTTTCCTTCTTCTCCAAAACAGCCGGCCAAGTGGTCTTTTTAAGATCTAAGGTGCGGGGCTGGAGATACACGTCAGTGGCAGACTGCTTGCCTAGCACACACGAGGCCCAGGGCTCAGTCTCCAGTACCAGGGGCAAAGAAGCCCTGGACCTGGGGGTGTATCTCAGTGATGTACTGCTTGCCTGGCAAGCGTAAGGACCTGGATTCAATCCCCAGCACCCCCAAAATAAACCGATAAAATATAAATGACACTCCTCTGGTGGTGTCACCCAGGAAAAATGACTTTATGAATGTCTACAGGGGCCTGCATGGTATGTCTCTGTTACCATCCAGCATCACCTTCCACTCTGCCCTTGATCACTCTCTCCAGCCAGAGTGATTTGCTGCTATTGGCTGAACATGCCCATGTATTCCTCTTGAGAGCACCGTCTCTTTTTCTGTATGAATGTTCTTCCTTTGTGTATCTGCATGCTTTACTCTTATCACTTTCTTCAAGTCTCTGCTCAAATGTCACTTTATGGCAGAAATTGACAACGGGACTTAAATGAAAACAAGACGGGCTGGAAGAAAAGTGACGGAGCAGGTCCTAGTAATCAGGGGGCACTGGACATCAGGAGCAGAGAGCGGCTCACCGCTGTATCCTACACTCAGGGTGCGGCACACATGCTCATTCCTTATTTTTTTTATTTTTTGGCTTCTTTGTGACAGGGCCTCGATGTACAGTTCAGGCTGGCCTTAAACTCACTTTGTAACTGAGGCTGCTGTCCAACTCCCAACAATCCTCCTGCCTCAGGCTCCCAAGTACTGGGATTACAGGTGTGAGCCCGGTTCATTCCTCATTTTAGATGCTCTTAAAGTGCTGGTTCTAGGGCCAGGCGTGGTAGTGCACGCCTGTAATCCCAGCACTCACGAGGCTGAGGCAGGAAGATCACTGCAAGTTGAAGACCAGCCTGGGCTACAAAGTGAGCTCAGGGCCAGCCTGAACTCAACAGCGAGACCCTCTCTCAAAAAGAAAAAAACAAAACAAAACAAATGAAAGTGCTGGTTCTGCCAGGTGTGGTGGTGCATGCCTGTAATCCCAGCACTCAGGAGGCTGAGGCAGGAGGATCTCTGGGAGTTCGAGACCAACCTGGGCTACAAAGTCAACTCAAGGCCAGCCTGAACTGCATAGTGAAACCCTGTCCCAAAAAGACAAAAAAAAAAGAAAAAAAAAGTGCTGGTTCTTTCAATGCTTATGTACTACATGCACTGCAGGTCACTGAGCAGTAGGAGGCGCTACTCTTATGGAGATTACAGTCGAGGGGAGGAAACCAAAAATAACAAGTAAACAAATAAACAGAAACACAGGAAACAAAAGGGAGCTAGGACGGAACTGGTGCGGAGGGAGGTGGACCACTGTGAGAGGCTGGAATGGTCAGACAAGGCCTACACAAAAGACCGCTGAGTGGAGACATGCAGGGTGAAAATGAGATGACTATTGGAACAGCTGAGAAAATGCTCTCAGGGCAGTGGAACTGCCAAGTACAAATACAGTGAGGCAGGAAAGGGTGTGGCAAATTTAAGGAAATAAAAACAGTTGTTTAATGGTGGTCCACACCTGTAATCCCAGTACTCTGATAAGCCGAGGCAGGAGAAGCCTAAATTTGAACCTAGTCTGGTAACTCCGCAATTTTGCAAGACCCTGTCTCAAAATAAAAAATGGGTGCAAAGGCTCTGGCTTCAACCCCCTGTACCACACAAACATACATACACACACACACACACAAAGTAGTTCTTCATATTGTTACTGCCTGAATTCTCAAAGTTACAAAGTCTAAGATCTTCAACTAAACATATTGTTATGACCTCCTAAAAATTACTACCCTTCCTGAGCCTCAAGTTTTCTTATCTGGGCAAGTTACTTCATCTCTTTTTTCTGACATATAAGAGCTAATAAAAGTCTCATCTTCCAAGTTGTAAAGAGAATAGCAGGCATGATAATGCATGCCTGTAATCTCAGAACTCAGGAGGCTGAGGCAGGAGGATTGCTGTGAGTTTGAGGCCAGCCTGAACTAAACTGGTAAGACCTAAACATAGTGAGACCCTATCTCAAAAAAACAAAAATAAATTTATAAGTGGATAATACAAAGTACCTGATACAGAGCAGAGGCTCAAAATCATTAGCTATTACTGTCATTATTATTATTATTATTATTTTTTGGTACCGGGAATCAAACTCAGGACCTTGCACTTGCCAGACAGGTGCTTATACCACTGAGCTATATCCCCGGCCCTATTGTCATTATTTTTTAAATTATCTGAGTTTTTAAAATAGTCTTTTAAATCTGAGTTTTTTAAATTATCTAAGTTTTTTAAATGTCATTATTTTTTAAATATCTTTCAGAAATCAATACATTTAACTAAAAAAATAAGTTATATGATTCAACAATTCCACTTTTTTTTTTTTTTTTTTTTTTTTAAGATAGGGTCTCGCTATGCAGTTCAGGCTGGCCTTGAACTCATTTTGTAGCCCAGGCTGGTCTCGAACTTGGAATGATCCTCCTGCCTCAGTGTCTCAAGTGCTGGGATTACAGGTATGCACCACCACTCTTGGATATTTACCCAAGAGAAAAGAAAACGTGTCTATAAAATACTTACAAGATGGCTCACAGCGGCAATTCTTCATAGTAATCAAAAACCAGACACACGCCAGGTGCCGAACCACAGCAGAATGGATAAACACACTGTGTGTGGTTTGTACAATGCAATATCATTGAGCAACAAACTACTGACAGGCAAAGCAGTATGAAATAGGCAGAGCATACTAAAATAATTATGCTGACTAAAAGGAATTTCAAATAAAAGAGTACATCCCACATGATGCCACTGCATGATGTTTATAAACAGGTAAAACACATCTGCAGTAGAAAAAAAAATCAGAAGAACAGTTCATCCAATTGGAGGACGATGATCAGGATGGGGTCTCACAGAGAAGGGACATTCTGGGGGATAGCAATGCTCACGTGTGTGAAAAGGTTTGGAATATACACTTTTCACAAAACAGGCCACAAGCTAAATGTAAACCAAAACTATAAAAGGGGATAAAGAGCAACTGTAGATGACCTTGGCTTTGGCAATGACTATTACTTCGAAAGCATGAGCCATGAAAGAATGAACAAGGTGGACTTCATTAAAATTAAAAACCGCTGCTCTGAAAAAGTCAAATGGAATTCCCTCAAACACTTCTGTGTTTCAAAGGAGACAATCAATATGATGAAAAAGGAACCCACAGAACAGGAAACAACGTTTTTAAATCACAGGTTACTATCCAGGATATGTAAGTAACTCCTAAAACTCAACTACAACAAAAACAAAACAAAAGATTCCCACAAACAACCCAATGTAAAAGTGGACAAAGAACTGAAGAGATAATTCTCCAAAGGAAATATACAAATGGCCAACAAGCATATGAATGATGTTATTTTACCAATAACTAAAGAAAATACAAATCAAAACCACAATAACATCTCACACATACTAGGATGGCTGCTAAAACAACAACAACAACAACAAAAAAACACAACTACAAGCATTTAATGAAGATGTGGAGAAACTCGAACTTGCGTTGTTGAAAAGTAAACATGTAGCCACCAGTGGGGTTGCCACACGCCTGCGAGCCCAGTACTTGGGAGGCTGAGGCAGGAGGATTGTCATGAGTTTAAGGCCAATCTGGGCTACATAACTGAGTTCAAGGCCAGCCTACACTACATAAAGAGACCCTGTCTCAAAAAAAAAAGAGGGAAAAGAGAAGTAAACATGTAGCCCTTAGAGAACATGATACTGAGGCATATCCAAAACTACAAATAGAAGCCCAGGCAGAGATATACGCCTATAGTCCCAGCTTCTTGGGAAGCTGAAGAAGGATGACAACTTCAGCCAAGGGCATGAGGGCAGCCTGGATAACATGAGACCCTGTCAGGTTGGGCCTCTCCCCTGTGGACATAGCTCAGGGGTACATATGCATGAGGCCCTGGGTCAGATTCCCAGCGTGGCAAAATAAATAAATAACAGACAGAATTAGCCGGTTACGGGCCGGGGGTATAGCTTAGCAGCACAAGCGCCCTCCTGGCAAGTACAAGGTGCTGAGTTTGATTCCAGGTACCACCCTCCCCTCAAAAAAATTAGCTGGATGTGACAGCACATGCCTGTAATCCTGGCACGTGGGAGGCTGAGCCCAAAGGATTGTGCTTTTGAAGCCAGACTGGGCTATCTAGCAAGTTAGAGGTCAGCTGGAGCTACATGGCAAGACCCTGTTTTCATTCTTTTTTTGAAAGACCCTGTTTAAAAAAAAAAAAAAAAAATATGATCCAGTATGTCTCACTTCTGAGAAAATATTTAAAACAGGATATCAAAGAGGAATCTGCACATTCATGTTCACTGTAGCACTATTCACAATAGCCAAAAGGCAGAGGCAACTCAAGTATCTACCAGCAGATGAATGGATACAGAATATGGGGTGTATATATACACATATATAATTTACATTTATATATAATACTATGCAGCTTTTCAAAAGATGTCAGCCAGGTGTGGTGGTGCAGGTCTGTAATCCCAGCACTGGAGAGGCTGAGGCAGGAGGATCATTGTGAGTTCGAGACCAGCCTAGGCTACAAAGGCCAGCCTGAATTGCAAAGCAAGATCCTGTCTCAAAAGACCAATAAATAAATAAATAAAAGATGTCACATGCTATTACACGGACGAACTCAAGGTTATTATGCTAAATAAAATACAATAGGAAAGGACAAACACTATGTTATTCCATTCACATCAGATATCTAAATAGCCAAAATAGAAAACAAAGTAGAAAGGTAGTTGCTAAGCAACGGGAATAGAAAGGAAGGAGTATTAATATTTAATGGGTATAGAGTTTCAGTTTTGCAGAATTAAAAAGTTCTAGAGACCTGATGTACAACAATGTTAAATGTTTATGATGGTGTATCTGATGTTTAATGTATCTGAAACCATAATTTTAAAAATACCAATTAAAATAGTTTTCTATTAGGTGCCAGAAACTGCAGGCTGCCTTTGCATAAGTCTCTGATCTCCAGGGAAACTGAGCAGAAAAAAGGAAAACAAGTAATCCCAGCTCCCTGGCTCACATACCCTGTAGTAGGTACTCCATCATGTTAATGGTGCCACCGGTGACCGGCATCATGGTGACTGGAGGAGCCTCCATTGTGACTGTCTGATTAAGTTCAAGACAACAGAACTGGATTCAGAGCTCCCAATCAGGCAAGGCACAGGATACACCTGTAAAAGTTACATTTACTGATGAGTGGAAGTGATGGAGAGACATCAGATTTGCTGTGGCATTGGCCTTGAAGTCAAGATTCAGTCATCATACAAAGCCAGGCATGGTGGCACGTGCCTGTAATCCCAGCACTTGGGAGGCTGAGGCAGGAGGATTGCCCCGAGTTCGAGACCAGCCTGAGCTACAAAGTGAGCTCAAGGTCAGCCTGAACTGCATTGTGAGACCCTGCCTCAAAAATATTAAAAAAAAAAAAGATTCAATCATACAAATCTCAGTACATTATCTGCTTAATATGGCCAGTTCTCCCGAGGTGTGGTAGCACACACCTGTAATCCCAGCACTTGGGAGGGTGAGGCAGGCAGATCACGGCAAGTTCCAGGCCAGCCTGACTACATGAGGAGACCCTGTCTCAAAAAAGGAAAAATATATAAAAATTTTAAAAGCCAGTCCTACGAGCTGGTGACATAGAAATATACATATAACAAACATCTGGCCATGGAATTACAGCAAAACCTTGTAGTTTTGAAAGCTCCAAAAGTTATCTGCGCAAGCTTGAGGAAGTCATGTAACCGCTCACCGTGGGACTCCTTTCCTTATCAAATGGGGCCACTGATATTTAACCCTCAAAGCTAGGTGGGTCAAATAACACAACGGGCATGCAATAACACTCCCAAAATTATAGAAATAGGGCGTGGTGGCGCACACCTGTAATCCCAGCACTCTGGGAGGCTGAGGCAGGAGGACTGTTGCGAGTTCGAGACCAGCCTGCGCTACAAAGTGAGCTGTAGGCCGGCCTGAACTGCACAGAGAGACCCTGTCTCAAAAACACAAACAAACAAACAAACCAACAAACCAAAGTTACAGAAAAACTGGTAAGCGACTTAAGGGTCCTTCTGTAGGCTTCATTTTATAGTTGACAGTATGAAGACTTGAAGAGGGGCACAAGGACATGCACAAGAAGTGAGTGCCAGAACCTGGAGCCGACACAATGCAGGGGTCCTGCCTCTCTGAAAACGGTTCTAAAAGCCAGTCAGGAGAGAGCGGGAAGTTCCTTTAAAACGGTGGCAAAGGTCTTCCTGAGCCGGCGTCCAGGACACAGCCATTACACTAGAGAAACACACCTCTGTGCGCAGGCTAGCTTCTCCTCGCAAAGCGGGGAATTAAAGCCACTCGCGTAATCTGTAGCGACAATTACCTCCCAGCCCTTGGAGTTCCCGAAACCCGCAAGGGCCCGGACGAGCGCAATTACCCTTCCTCCTCCTCTTCCCACTTCCTGCAAGAAAGCGACAACGCGCAAACCTCCAATCAGCCGCTCCGCAGCGTAAGGGTGCCGAGAGGACCAGAAATCGCTTGTTTGCGGTCAGGCATGCAGATGCGCATGCGCAAAATGCGGTGCGGCTGTAAGGAAAAAGCGAGCCTCCTTTGAAGAGTGCTCCTCTACCAGGAAGGGAAGGGGCTCGACGTTGTACGCCTTCCTCTAGAAAAACATGTGGTTTTGTTTTTTTTTAAGTCGGATGGTCTGAAGTTGTTTTTGTGTGGGCGGTTTCTTGGAGCTTATAAGACTGAACAAAGATATACCTAACCTTTGAATTTAGCAACACTTTCTGGGGAAAAAAAATGAGATTGGCGAAGGGGGCTGCTGGGAAAAGAGAAGGGGGAGGTTATGAAACAAAGACTTCTTTTTCTTATCCGCCTGAAGGTGAAAAGAAAAGATGCCCCATACTGCTCAGCGTGATGTTGTGTATTATTAGGAATGTCAGCAATACACAATACTCTATTTGGGGGCTGGGGATTTAGCTCAGCGGCACAGCGCCTGCTTGGCAAGCGCAACGTTGTGAGTTCGATTCCCGGTACCGGAAACAAAACAAAACAGAACAAAAATACTGTATTTGTTCACTTTGCTGTGTACATTATACCTCAATGTAAAAATAGAGGGGAATGGAGTGTGCCTGTAGACTCAGCTCCTCAGGAGGCTGAGACATTAGGATTACTTGACTCCAAGAATTCAAAGCCAGCCAGAGCAACATAGACCCCCATTAAAAATAATTAATTAAAATATATTACACCCCTGGGTCATGCTCTGAATGCAAAGGTGACCATTGGAGATCGGTCTGCCCTCTGAGGCGGAGGCCCCAGAGCTCAGACCCATCCTACCAGTTAGTCCAACAGGAATGAGGGGGCCTGGGGCA